GATTGGTCAGAGGCTTCACACCTGACTGACAGGTAAAGGAAGGCTGGAAAACCAGCAGTGCTCGGACCTCGAGGACCGTGAGTTGAATAACCCTGCACTAGGTGATACTAGTGGTCGATATTACTGGAGATGGTTCTAGCTCTCAAAAACTGGCCCCTTCCTGAGACTATCATATGCTGTAGTGTCTAGAGTTCACAGAACAATAGCATGATGGATAAAGAAAAAGTATCCAGTGAGTGGTATTTCTGTGGCTATAAGCACCATATTAATTAGAGAAGTCAGAGGAGAATGACAAAGGAAACAGGCAAAGTCCAAAAACAGGGATTCTGAATAATAGTGGTGTGGCAAATAGCTTCCCTCATCTGCCACTGAAGTGGTTCTGGAAAGTGCTGGTCCTCTGTCCAGCCAACCCAACCCGCTTGTCCCCAGCAGTTCCCTTGGGCGGGGCTGCTAATTGTTCTCTGACCCATGTGTTGCCTAGCCTTGTTTTCCCCTAATAAATTCCCCTGTGAGAGGTTGCACTTGCTCCCAGCCTGCATTTGGATCGTCCTTCTCCTGCTGTGTCGTGACAAGGAAAGTGAGCCCTACCCTGTAATAGCTAGGTTTGCCTAGCAAGTGGAAGTACTACTTTTCCTTCTCAGTGTGAATGTATTTGGTGGACTTGTAAGATAAGCTAAACTGTACCGAAGGAGAACCTGTGGACTCTCAATTTCCCATCTCACCATTGACCTTTTTCCTCTAAACACTAAGTATAAATCTTGCGTTTCTCTGCTACGTGCACTCCTGTAATGCCCTTTCAGTTAATAAGGTTAAATTTAATCTGGAAATTTTACTTTTTGATCGTTCAAGTTTGGGGTCCTTACAAAAGGTGTAATGCTCGATGCAGACTGATTTTCACATTTTTTTTGTATATTCACGTTACAAAAGTGGAAAAGATTTGTATTCAGCCCAGATTTGGCTGAGCTTCATCATCTTCTTTTCCACTCATGAAATGTTGGCAGGGTATTTCATGCACAGACATGAGAAGGTTTGAGCAAAACAACTGAGGAATTTATTTAATGCATAGCAGGCCTTGTCACTCCATGCATGCAGTAAAGTTAGAAAGTATATTTACTTTGACGCATTTGGTTTCATTATCCTTTTATTACTAAAAGTAGTTGAGGTATTAGCAGTAATTTAAAAAAATACTATTGCTATTGTGCTTGTGAGCCAACAGTATGGCTGTTATTAAATAATATGCAGATACACAATGTGAGAATCTGTGCTTGCCATTCAGGACTGGGAAAGTAAAAAATATAGATATTCACCCTCAGAGGGCGCAACCGCCATTTCATCTTAAATCAAGCCACTTAGCAATCTTTCCCCACCCAGTTCTTGGGGACCACCAGATGGTCCACGTTTCACTTCCTACCGGAGCTGGGAAGGGGCAACAGTGTGGACTATCTGGCAGGGTAGGCAGTGTGATCATTTACCTGGACGGCCGGGGGGTTTCCAAGGATTGAGTTGAGAAACACTGACTTAGAGTACATTTTTTGTTCTGCAGAATGTTTCGTTCAGGACCGGCAAAAAGCATTTTGTTTGCACACTGAAGCCAAAATGAGCTTCATTAAGTGCTGTATGCGTTTGTGCTTATTTTCTTCGCATCTTTTCTTTTTTCAGCATTTGGACTCATTGTTTTCTCCAATCTTCTGACTCCATTGTTTTCTACAATTTGTAACCACAATTTTATCAGTTTTACTGTTGTCCAACGATGCAGTCAGTATTTCCACAAGGAATTATAGTTCTTGTCAGTAAATTTCTTTGACGCTGTGTAGAGCGCTGCTCGATCGCAATGCAATGTTGCCACCTGGTGGCCATTTTTAATTCCACTTAGATCGCCATCGAGTAGGAGGATCTATGAAAGTTAACCTAACCGTAAACACGTGCTTAATTGTTGGATCTGTCCACACTGTATGGATTGGTTTACAGATATTTGTGGCTACAAATGATCAGACTCTGTTCAGCATGAACGAAGATTTACAAACCCTGTGAGAGAATAGTTTAGTGATTTACTGCCAGTGGTGGAACGTAACAAAGTATTTCTACTTCGTTACTGTACTTAAGTACATTTTTACATATCTGTACTTTACTTAAGTAAAAATAATAATGCATACTTTTTATTTTACTCCATTACATTTTGCGGCAATTATCTGTACTTTGTACTCCACTACATTTCTACAATTTATGTCATTAGTTGTTACATTTTATGAACACAATTTCCTCAAAATCTTGCATGAAAAAATAGTTAGCCTATTGCGTTCTGGAGTTGTTTGCCATTTCCTACCAATCAGGTGGCTTTATTATCTCCAATGATGTCAGAGCGCGCGTCAATTAGCAGCACGAGCTGGTAGACTGGCTTGAAGACGAGACATTCAATATGGACCCAGAGCCAATACACATATACTGTATAGTTGTTTGTAATTATTACTAGCAATGACATCGGTTGAGGCGTAAGTCAGTATATCTACTATTCTTTTACAAAATGGCACACCCGAGACGTTGAGACAAACCATTATGTGAGTACGTTTACTTAAAAAAAATACTTTAAAGTAAAATTAAAAGTAAGTACTTAGTATTTTCACTTAAGTAAGATTGTTGATGTAGCACTTCTACTTTTACTTGAGTGCATATTTTGCAGGATATTTGTACTTTTACTTAAGTACTAAGCTTCAGTACTTCCTCCACCACTGTTGACTGGTGATTAATCCAACCAATAGACAACTACAGAAGTTGCATACACTCCTAACTTTACTAAACTGTTCACAACGTACGATGGCCGGTCATGAGATCCCTACATAGTCTGCACCTATCGGACTCGGTTCTTTCGGCTCTGCACTGAAAAGATCACGCTCAACAGGTCCAACGCTAACAAAGCTCTTATTCTCCTAAATTATTTTGCATTTCTGTTTACTTTACTTTATTTTTTTTATTTGGGTATGTAACAAATTATTGGTGAATTTCTATGTCATGACTTTATCTAAAGACATCAGCTACACTACTGAGAAACGTATTCCAGTCACTAATCTTTATCAAGCGAAATGTTTCTGATTAATTTGTTCCCCAGATATCTAAATGGCCCTTGGGTTCACTGTAACAGCATGGGGTGTCAGCATCAAGCCAGCAGCAAACGGCAGTGCTGGGCATTGCCATGTGGTGACACCAATTGCACAGAGCTGCTGGTTAATAAAGCTTCCCAGTTGGAGTCCTTTTCAGTGCTTCAGCCTTTGCTTAAAAGTGACACAGATCACATGAGGATATTGGCGCTCATTCTCATTTGGGGAACCTAAGCACCCAGGCTTAATTTACAATGTCTTATATTTTCTGTACCCACTTGTCCTATTCAGGGTCACAGGGGATCCAGAGCCTATCCCTGAAACTACAGCAACAAGGCAGAGAATAACCCAGGATGAGGCACCAACCCACTGCAGGGCACGCCCACACACCATTCACAGTTTAGTAATTCCAGTTCATCTCAGCATGTTTTGAACTGTGTGAGGAAACTGGAGAAAACCCCATGATGACACGAGGAGAGTATGCAAACTGCACACACAGGGAGCTAGGGTGGGGACTTGAACCCATGTCCCAGAGGAGGGAGGCAGCAGCGCTAACTGCTGCACCGCACTGCCACCCTCATTTGGAGTCCACCATAGGAAATACATATCAAGCATTGGATTAATAATCCATGTGTACATTATTTATCCCTGTGCATTGACTGGAATAGACTCTGGGTGGTCATTTACTGATCATCAAGGGACAGACATGCAGAGTGTTTCCAGTAGAAAATGCCAGAATAAAACCCCAGGCATTAGTATAAGTTAACTTAAAGGTTCAAGGTGGTTTGTTCTCATGTGCACATGGTACAATTAAATGCTTACTTGTGTACTTCCTGCAGCCCATAGTGCCAAATGATCAAAGGCAATGAATACAAGATTAAAAGTACATCAACCTAAATGTAATATATAGGGATCCATCTGGAGATGGAGATTTAAGTGAACCTTCAGGATAAGACATCTAAGTGTCATTTATAGCTTTTTGAGGAGCCCAGGTCTGCAGGTAAAAATTGCATATAACTACACATAACCGGGACGTTTCATAATTTTCTTCTGTGTGAAGAAATAGTGTTGTATATTAGGTATGTTAACTTTTTTGCTATGGTTTTGGTTTGGGGGCCTTTCATTAAACTATGAAGGGTTGTTAAATTTTATTTACTACAGCTATATTTTAACATGATAGCGTCAGATTTTTAAGTATTTTTTAGGTATGTCTCGTCTGTTAATCTGAACTGTAAGAAATCTTATAAAATCTTATAAAGTTAAAAAAAAAAAATAGAAATGCAAAACCGCAAAATCCCACCCATAATAATAACCAAAAAATGAGCTGGCGCACACCAGCGAAGACCACGTTCTCTTCTTTCTACAGTCTTAAAAGCTAAATTAAAAAAAAAAACTTTTTATTTGTCTTTGGCCGGTTACTGTAAAATGAAAATAATAATTTCCTCTCGACTAACAGAAAGTAAAGAAAAGGTACTCCGTCATGCTTTTGAACTATTCTCATTTGTTTTGTTTATACACTTATTTGCACGTAATAGTTCTGTAATTTATATATAATTATAATATGAAGTTAATGTGTAAGATAAATAATGTGTAAAATAAAGATTAAATAAATTATATCAAAATAAATAACATTTAAAACATTTTATGAATGTTATAACAATGCCGCAATATACCTACAAAAACAAGCATGAAAAGTATTGCACTGGTATATGACCCATACCAAAACAAACCATGTGAATTTTAGATGATAATACAGGCAAATGTTACTAATAATGCTATTATGTAATATGAAATCAATTGCCAATGTTTCCTTTTAAATAAATATTTACTGCTTATTGGTTGTAGTAATCGAGTGCGCACTGTCACTCATTCTAAAGCGAGGAGAGCATAGACAGTATTAATGTTGTCCCTTGGCAGCTTCCGTAGTTCTCCGACATATTGGAGAGCAAATTCTGGAACGCAGGAAGAGCATAGGATTAAAATTTATTTATCGTAAGAAAAATCGCCAGAAAATATTGAATATCACAGAAACGATGGGTGAGTGACATTTCTTTAAAGCCGGTATACCAAACTTCGTGTTCTCTGCTGGAATGTCAGGTAATTGGAGTCGTGAGGGATTTATGGTGGTCAAATCCTAGTAGAATGATAAACCATCGAGCGCTAACCAGCTAAGTCATGTTAGCTGGTAGTTAGCTTTCTTAATGTCGGGTTAATTTCAGATACGAATTACGGTTTAGGTGTTTGCAAGCTAATTGGCGATTTTGTCATGAACAAGTGCATTTTTACCGTACTTACAGGAGTAATCATGGTCAAATTACAGCTGGTTTATATCAAGAGAAAGTAGCTTACTGGGCAAACAGCATAACTAGCGATACAATGTAATTTTTAAACCTCGATATATTCCTTCTGAGGGAGATCACCTAGCTGTAAATAAAGATGACATTTTGGCCGAAAACTTCTTTTTATTGTTGTTTTGTTGGCTGCTATGAAGTCAGTGGCCTTTTCTTAGCCGGTCAGCTAGCCATGTAGGTAATTGAATTTGATCTGTTTTTTCCGCAATTTTTTTTTTCTTTATCTCGGTATTTTATCATTTGGTTGGAAGATTCTTTTTTGGGCAGTTAGATTTATATTCATTCCACCGTGGACAGCGTTCATAGCACATAAGGTGCATAGTAAACCATGCGTTCAGTGCTTTTTAGGCGTTGTTTGGGTGGTAGTTAACGTGGAAGGGAGGGCGACCTGCTTACAAGCGTGAAGACTTTCGGCTCTGCGCTGCTTCGTGTGTGTTAGTCACACGTTTTACGAGAAGCGTTATGAGTAAATGAAATGAATCACGGTTAGTCGCTGAAATGTTTGTTTGGTGGCTGCCTTTCTGTTACTGTCATAACGCTTCTAGTTATCCCTCGTGGAAGTGAGCAATGTATCTCCCCACGACCCTCCTATATTTTACCTCTAGACAGAAAAATAACTAAGTGCGTAACTCATGATTGGCGAGGTAAAATCTTCTTTATTAGATACAAATTAGCATGACAAAGTGCTCTGCATTTATAAATTTATATACCGCAAGACACCCACTGTATAACTTCCGTCTGCTCTAATTTTAAGTTCGGTTACGAGTCCAAAATAGTATAATATGTGATATTAAATCAATCTCTTGACGGTCCATTTCAAATAGTGACTAAATAAATTAATAAATTGATTTGAACGTGGCTTAAAATGTTTGACGGTACGTGGTAAACATCACTTTCATGATGTGCAGGGCCTGCTAAAAACGTCGTGCAGTTTATAATGTTGTGGAAGCCAGGAGAAGTGACCTACGCGGTGAGCCATGCTATTTGTGATTATGTAATCTGCTAATTGAGTGCGGAGACGCGCCTTCATTTTCTGTCCGCCTGTATGGTCACGTGACCCGCCGTGTCGCTGCAGCTGTCCGATTGACGTTCCACTTATTTGGAAGTTTCCCTTGACAGAGCTGAATGGAGCCCAGCTGTGCGCTCTGTTTGTAGCTAAACTCTACCTGCCTCCTGTGTGCATGCAGTTGAAAATATTGTGCCTTGAACGTAACGTGTTTGTTTGTGGCCAGGGTGCAGTAACTGCGGGTCTTTCAAGGAGCTTGCATCGGGGAGGAAGGCAGGGCCGCCCTTCGCCTTTCCAGGCCCCACTCAAACCGCAGCATAGAGGCCTATCAAAAATAGCCCCCCGACTATTTGCGCGGCTCATGTGATGGTGTGCTATAACCGGAGCGGTGGGTGGGGAGACGGACACAAGTGACCATTAACTCGTGGAGGCCTGTGGGTACCAGGTGGGGCGGTGATGAAAAGGATGGACTCCCTTTAGCTGGCGACAGTAGTCGAAGCGGGTTCCGCAGAGGCTCCCCGTGTAGCGCGCAGGACATAATTGTGATGCCTAAGCAAAAAAAAAATATACAGCGTTGTACATGAATGCGCTAGGCATAACTGAAAGAATCTGCTGAGCGTTTAATAGTAGTAATGTAGCGGCATTGTTGCCTCTTGTCGTGTGCCTGACTGAAAAATTGCTTAATGTAGCAGCACAAATGAAGCAGGGCTGTGCGCTTCTCACTTAAGAGCCTGCTGTTCTGCCATCTGGACACATCGCACACACACGCGCACACACACACACATTAGAGCATCTAATCATAGGGGCAGCCGAGTGCGATTGTGAAACAACCCGGCATTTGTTATGGGGGTGTTTGCGGCCACCGTCCATCGGATGCAGGATAAATGACAGTTATTGCTATATTGTTGCTTATGTGACACATTTCCATCCTAAGCTGCTCGCTGGTTTCTAAATTTGTGAGTTTGTGGCTTGGTTATATGTTGTGTACTTTTTTGCTGAGGTTTTGCTTCTTTGCAAGGGGTCCCTCTAAACACCAGAACCGGCAAATGCACACCGTTCCTGTTCCAGCTGCTAGTCTAGTTGTGGTCACGTGATGTTTCTGGCGATTTCAGGTTTTTAAGAACGTTTGAAAAGCCTTCTGGACGAGTGGGAAATCTGCTTTGATGATCTTTGATGTGTAAGCAGAATGGAGTGGGTATTTCTGCGTGATGCATAGGACAGCACGGCTTGGGATGGCCTCCAACCCCACCTGCCCCCACTTCCAGGATGACTCAGGACTGGCGCGCTCCACAAATGCTGAGGGTGGATGGTTTGTGCATTCTGTGCCAGTGCCGCGATTAGTCCCCGAATAAGCGCGCTTGTGTCGTCAGCTGTCGCAATCGCTGAGTGATGCGCTCGCAGACTGCGTACACATGTACGTCTGTGCTCCGACCAGCGGTACGCACATTCAGGATAGTAGGTAGCTTGTTATGTTGTAGATGTAGACCTGCGTTTTACTGTGTTTCTGCTCTTGCCTTCATCCTTGGACGTTATTAACTTGTGGCTAAACACATTTGGGATTTTTTTTATATAAGAACGTGTATCATAATTTTGCATATTTTCAAAATTTGATAATGAGATTTCCTTATTCATTTGTTTTATTTTGCAGACATACCTTTTTTGAGAAACCAAGGTCAGACAATCCCTGGAGCAGGGATTAAGGGTCTTACTCAGGGACTCAATAGTGGCCTGCCAGACCTTATAATCACATGCACTGCATCCTAAGCTGCTGAGCCAAGCCTCCCACTAACACCCAAAGACATCAGCTACTTTCGTTTTAAAGAGCCTAATAGGTCTCATTAAAGGCAATGCTTACTTGGGCAAGCTGTACAGTACATTCAGGTGCCTTTGGGAGGGACAGCATGGTTTGTGGAAAGGAGTGTCATTAGCAGAAGGGAGGACGCAGTGGTGTTTGTATGCCACCAGGGGCACTGTCACCGTCAGGCCCTATGTCAACAGCTCTGCTGTCGCATCGATTGCTTGCACGGGGCCCGGTCCTTTCCGTTTCGGTAGGCATTGCGATTGCGATCAGCGACCCTGTCGACACCTTCCCCAGGTGAAATCAGTTCAGCTGTCAGAAATTAAGAAATTAGGCAGCTTTTTTTTTCTTCTTTTTTTTTTAATCCATCATGTGGCTCTCATCATGTTTCCCACCCCGTGACAAGCCAGCCAGCACGTTGCTGTGATCAAATCATTTCGAAAAGTATTAAAAAAGTTTTTGACAAGGTATTTGTTCATGCAAAAATGCTCATTAAAATGTCCCCCTTTTTTAAAAACGCTGCATTCCGGGATGTTCATTCATCGACAGGTTAGCAGTAGCTTTGTTACGGATGCATTTGCGTGTTACAGGAATGTGTGGGGGAAAATGGGTGATGGGATGCTAATTTTGTTGCCGTAGAGACCACAACAAGCCCCGCGAAGGACAATTACAGGATGAACCGGTACAAGAACAAAGCACTGAACCTTGACGAGATGCGTCGGCGGCGGGAGGAGGAAGGAATCCAGCTCAGGAAGCAGAAGCGGGAGCAGCAGGTAGGGGGCGCCCTGTGGCTCGCTTTCCCTGAGCCTGTTTGGGGAAATGCCGCATGCCTATGATATTTGTGGATATGCAAACGTTTTAAATATTTAATGTAATAAAATGGCTGCATTCTTTCCTAAGCCTGGTATTGAATAACATAGAAATGGAAATGATTTAGGTTTGTGTCGATAGAGAATTTCAGTATCTCTGTCTTCGGTGGAATTAAGTTTAGAAAGTTCTAGATGGTGTTTGTGTGGTGACTGTCCATGTAAATGGGGGCAGCTCTTCAAGAGGAGGAATGTGGAGATACTGAATGAGGAGGACGGCATGCTGGAGAGCCCCCTCATGGATCACTTCATCAGTTCCACGACCACAGGGGTGAGTCTCTCTCTCTCCCTCGCCCCATGGTACAGTGTCTCTAAATGAGAAATCAGGACTGTTTCTCACCTGTGAAGCCTGGTAGGTCAAATGGAGACTAGAGGTTTCTGAAACAGAAGCAGCATGTGTAGGCTTTGCAGTTATGGCCGCTGTTGGGCAGTAAGTACTGTTTAATGCCAAACCTTGGAAATGGAGTAAGGGTGGAGTAGTCTCTGGCCAGTGTGGGGTCTGAAACTTCTGGATGTTCAGGAGTGTTGAGCTCCGCCTGATGTTAGCGGACGGTTATGAAAGCGCATCGTGGTCCTCAGACATGTTTGAAAAGGTCTGCATGTGCTTTCAGGAGGGGCTCATCACCAGAGACATGGTAGAAATGCTTTTTTCAGAAGACCCTGAGCTCCAGCTGGCCACAACACAGAAGTTCAGGAAGCTCCTCTCCAAAGGTAGCTTTATTTTCTGACTTGGCTCTTAGTGCCGGTTCTCGGTGTTTGTGTGACGTCTGGATCGGTCTTAGCTCAACTCGTATTCTTGGTGTGTGTCTTTACTAGAGCCTAACCCACCCATCGACGAGGTCATCAACACACAGGGGGTTGTGGAGAGGTTTGTGGAGTTCCTGAAGAAGAGCACCAACTGCACATTACAGGTGGGGCAGTGTGACATGGGTATCCAGGATCTATGGTCACCTACAAAATTTTACAAGGAAAGTGAGAGCTGGTTTCTGTGTTTCCATCCTTCGCCAGTTCGAGGCCGCCTGGGCGTTGACTAACATCGCGTCGGGGACGTCCCAGCAGACGAAAATCGTGATTGAGGCAGGAGCCGTGCCTATTTTCATTGAGCTACTGAACTCAGATTTCGAAGACGTGCAGGAACAGGTAACCCCATCCCCTCTCTTGTGTGTCTTTAGCAGTTCTCTTTGGGTCTGTCCACCTGCTTGCATCCCCATTTAGTGTCATCTTTCCCTGGGTTGGGTTTTAAAGGCTAAGCGCATTCCTCGTTAGACGATTGCGAATCTGCATGCACTGACAATTAAATTGCGTGATTCCCTTAAAACGCCGGACCGAAAGCAGGCGTGGTTTTATTGCTGAGAGCACAGGCTGCGAGCGTGCAGACAGCAGGGCTGTCCTGTGACTGCCTTTCTATATCTGGCGCCCCCTGCAGGCTGTGTGGGCACTAGGGAACATCGCGGGGGACAGCGCCGTGTGCAGGGACTACGTGCTGAACTGCAACATCCTCCCTCCGCTGCTGACGTGAGTGCCTGCCTCCTAGGAGGAAAGGGGCGCCGATGGCCGTAATTAATGACACGTATCCAGGAGAAGCAGAAGTCCCGCCCCCAGCCCCTCCCCCACCCTGTCATCCTTAAGCCTCAATGGCAGATCTACGGATGTGGGACTTTTTTTCAGTATGCGGGGGCTGAAGTACAGTGAAGGAAAGCTGATAGGACAGCCACCATCGATCTGCTGATCCGGTACAGGGTTATGGTGGGAGACAGAAACCTATCAAGGAGAGCAGGGCAGGATTTAGGAAAAGGATTTAGGGAAAATTCTGGACTGGGTGCCACTCTGTAACAGGGAACACACACACAATCATGCAATTTAGAAATGCTGGTTATTATAGATAGATAGATAGATAGATAGGACTTTATTGATCCCACAGTGGGGAAATTTGTGCGTTACCACAGCTCTAGACAGCCTGAAAAGAGTACAAGAGTAATACCAAGAATATAAAAATACAAGAATAAGAATGCAAAAAAAATTAAATAAGATAAAACACAAAATACAACAGTAGTGCCTATGTACACCCATATACAGTATGTAATATGGATAGTGGGTTGTGGGAAAAAGTGCAAGTAATTATAATTGTGACTTTGGACTGCCAGAGGAAACTGGATTACCTGGTGGATACACACACACCCAAAAATATAAATAAAACATGAAAAAATGTCCCCCTTTTGTTTGTTTGCCCCTTTTAAGGTTGCTGACTAAGTCCACCAGGCTGACGATGACCCGGAACGCTGTGTGGGCGCTGTCCAACCTGTGCAGGGGAAAGAGCCCTCCGCCGGACTTCGAGAAGGTAACCCGCAGACGGACAGGCTGATGGGGCTGGGTGAGCAGGCAGGCAGGCTGCTGTCTGGGCAGCAACTGAGCTCAGCGTGCGGGAATGAACCCAGCAAACCGCAATCTGTGTCTGACATCACCCTTTGAACTCTGGGCGCTCTGCTGATTTCTGAGCTGTGTCAGCAGGTGTGTACCAGCTCTGGAAAGGAGCACCAAAGATTACAGAGGGAGTTTAACATAGTTTGCTATCAGTCCCTCTTTCTCTAAGAACTCACAATTTGTTCTGAACAATTTTCATCAAATGTGCGATCATAAGAACCGCGCCCGTGACGTTTTAGTGCAAGTAGCGTAAGGTGAGGACTTTCTGCAGGTCTGTTGCTGGTGTTCAGTTGTAATTCTGCCTCTTATTCCCCGCAGGTTTCCCCCTGCTTGCCGGTCCTGTCTCGTCTCCTCTTCAGCAGCGATCCGGACCTGCTGGCGGACGCCTGCTGGGCCTTATCCTACCTCTCGGATGGGCCCAATGAGAAAATCCAGGCAGTCATCGACTCGGGGGTCTGCCGGAGACTGGTGGAGCTGTTGATGTGAGTGTCGGCGTGCCGGCCGCTGGGATGGCGGGGGTCAGATGGCCGACATCGGCGAACCGCGGCGTTCCTCAGAATCGCCGTCCTCTGTTTAGCCTCACATGCAGGTGTGGGGGAGCTGGAATGTCTGGTTTAACATCAGACAAACCTGTGAGCAGAGTGCCAAACATTCTGATGTTAGGAATGATTACTGCTTCTGCTGCTGATCCTGCCCCCCCCCCNTGCCAAACATTCTGATGTTAGGAATGATTACTGCTAAGGTGGCTTCTCCTGCCCTCAGGGCCGTGGGCAACATCGTCACAGGAGATGACATCCAGACACAGGTTGGGACATATGGTTCATTTTGACAGTGATTTGAAAAAAAAATCTATCTCAACAGTTTATAAGTAATAGATGAATACTTTATTAATTCTCAATGAAGCTGTCGGTTTACAGTAGGTGAAAAACAGACTTAAATAGTCAAAAGACAGACAGTAGTAATAAACACTAACTATGGAATTACATAGTAACAGCTCAAAAATAAAAATTACTGCACAGTGAACAAATGAGTGAGTGAATGTGTGAAGTGCGTCTGCTCTATTCAGACCAATGGTCATTCATCCCCCATCTGGGTGGTGTGTCATAGTGTTTAATCGCCAATGGTAAGAGCGACCTTGCATAACATTGCTTGGAGCTCAACTGTATGTTGCTGAAAAGCATCAGATCAAGGAGGAAGTGAAATTTGCAGTGACTTTGCTGGGCTGGTTTCATAGCCGGTTAAGAAACAGCAGGTGGCGCCAACATAATTCGTCCCACAACCACTGGGCCTGTCTTTGTGCAGGTGGTGCTGAACTGCTCCGCCCTGCCCTGTCTGCTGCACCTCCTGAGCAGCGCCAAGGAGTCCATCCGCAAGGAGGCCTGCTGGACCATCTCCAACATCACAGCGGGAAACCGGGCCCAGATTCAGGTACCATACCTGGGAGCGGGAGGTCATGCTGACCTGAACCGTAATGAGCTGATAACAGCTTTACTGTTGATACTGAAACTTTATCTCAAGTTCCTCGCGGAAGAAAGAGCGCCCTGCTGTGTCACGGCATCAGCTGTGAAGCTCCGCGGCAGCTTTGGCCAACCGTATCCATTAAGAAACAAAAGCACTGATTTCAGCTATGTAGACTGCTTACCTTGCTTTATAGTAGTGGTTCTCAGCCATTGGGTTGTGAACCAAAAGTTGATTGTGGAATCATTTTCTTTGGGTCTTTGGGATTACGTAGCAAAAATCTGAATTTTTGTAATGTCAGATGTGGTTGGGAATGATGTGTGATGTCGTCCCGGAAATCATTTGGTTTTCTTTACCACCAGCACCACACCGTTACAACCCTGTCTTTGGTGAAATAGATTTAAAAACAGATGCAGTAGAACCCCAGAGGTTGTCGGCTTCTGAATTCGTCATATTCGGTCTTCGTCGCAAAATGACGAGAAAATTTTGAGTTGGAGTTCATCCTGAAAAACCATGTGACTTCCTTTGTAAACAAACATTTACTTTCAACTGGCATCAGTCTTGCGCGTCGTTCACACGTTGCTCTGAGTGCTGTGATCGCATTTTATAGTTTTTGGGGTTTTTTTTTGGCTTTTATAAGCTTTTTTGCTAATAAGCATGGGTCCAAAGAAAGCCAGTGCAGAGAAGGCAAAAAAGGAAATCAGTAAGAACTACAAATGAGCTTCGAAAGGAGATTATTGAAAAGTTGGAAAGCAGCAGTATAAGTGTGACTGATTTAGCTGCTCAGTATAAGCTGCCCAGAACCCCTGTAAGTAAATTTATAAGGCATAAAGAGGCAATAAAGTGCTAGTGTTTCTAAAGGGGTTACGAGTTTGACAAAACAGAGGCCTCCAGTTATAGATGAAGTAGAAAAATTGTTGAAAACACTCTATTAACCTTTAATGTTGTGTTTCTTACTTAAATTATGTTATTTAACTCTGAACTTATTTAATTGTAATATCAGTGTAATGTTTTTGTATAAAAAGGCAAGGTTAGGGGGGTTGAAAATAGATTAACCTGTTTTCTGTTATTTCTTATGGGAAAAAAAGATTTGGTGTTGGTCAGATTCACATATAGTCACTTCTTCTGGAACGAATTACCGACGAACACCGGGGTTCTACTGTAATTAAATTCCAACAACTTACGGTCGTAATTAGGGTTACTAAGGGGTGGAAAATTTCCAGAGACTTTCCATTCCATTGGAAATTAAGATGAGGAATTTTGGAAATATTCCCTGTTGGAAACTTTTCCATAGGAATTAACAGGAATATATATGGAAAATTCCCAGAATTTTGCAAAGCAGTGATTTTAATTACTGAGGAATAGTGTGGCTCGTGAGGCTATACCTGTGAGCTGCTGTTATATGCCCCCTTTTTATGAGTTTGATCCTTTGTAAGAATGGTTCTTTGGCAGCCATGTTGGTTCGTTTGTTCATACCATGTATCTTTGGCGCTCCCAATATCCCCAGGGAATCGAGGCGGTGGCTTTGGTGTTCTCGGCGCTCCTTGAGTCCCTGCTGCTTCTCTCTGTCTCCCCAGACCGTTATAGATGCCAATATCTTCCCGGTGCTGATCGACATCCTGCAGAAGGCAGAGTTCCGCACAAGGAAGGAGGCAGCATGGGCAATCACCAATGCTACGTCGGGTGGCACACCAGAGCAGATCCGGTGAGTTGGGCACCTTGGAGATGTCCTCGTGGCTGTCGGCTCTTGGCCTTGGCACCCTGGGGCCTTCCACACACACACACACACACACACACAATCCTCATATTCATATCGTTATGGGGACTCTACATTCATTTCTATGGGCGTAACCCTAATCCCAGCAATAACAACCTTAAGCCCTACTGAGTCCTAACCTTCACCATAAGTAACCAGACAAGAAACAAGTCTTTTGCCATTTTTAGTTTTTCGATTTCTGTCAGATTTTTATAAAATTGAAATTTCTATTGTAGGGACTGCAAAAATGGTCCCCACCATGTCACAATAACAGGTTTTCATCACATGGTCCCCACAATGAAATGTATACCTGGACCACACACAGATGTACACATAGGTGCACCTAAATTCTGCCCTTTGGATGTTGGGATTCCAGCGCAGTGGGTTCTGCTGGTAGATCCGTCTCCTCAGGTGACAGGTCATACAGTGAAGGAACTGAATTCAGGTCCCAGCAGTGGAGCCCTATTTGGAGCGATTTGGCACTGAATATTTTTAAACTCGGAATTGTTTTAAAAATCTTACTATGACTTGTATTTAAGCTGAAGTAAACAAATGATGTAATGCAGTGCTATGCTGTCTCCTAGACTGGATGTGGCTCTGCTTGGGCTTTTCCCTGCTGTCCTCCCACGGTCCTTGAAAATCATTATGGTCTAGGAGGACAAGGGTACCTGCCAGCTGGAGCCCCCCCCCCCTTCCCCCCCGTTTACTATTGGCTCTCTATCCTCAAGCCTTAAACCAGCTGGGACAGTCCTTGGTTAAATTTAATTGTATGCCATCTGGACGCCAGTTGGTTAAGCCATCTTTTATCAAAATAGTCCTTTTTTAATCATTGCCCATCATCATTTGATGACTGTGTCTGTATTGCTAATATCGAGCCTGTCTGCCGATACGTGCAAATTGGTGCTTTTTTGTATGTCAGCGGTGCCTTAAATATCGTCCATGTGGCTTAACGTTTCTTTGTTTACATTCGTGCAATCTGCCGGTTAGTCGGTGACATCTCTTCTAGGTACTGGAATATGAGCTCTGGTCAGCTGCAGGTTTATTTTAATCGGCTATTCACTTTCGTTTACGATTTGCTGTTTACCTTGTAGGTACTTAGTAAACCTGGGCTGTATCAAACCGCTGTGTGACCTCCTGACCGTCATGGATTCCAAGATCGTGCAGGTAGCCCTGAACGGACTGGAGAACATCCTGCGGCTGGGAGAGCAGGAGGCCAAGCAGAGCGGCAGCGGGATAAACCCGTACTGCAGCCTAATTGAGGAGGCTTACGGTACATATCCTGAAGGGGCCTCTCTTAGGGGGGATCACGATACACGATGTTACAGCCTGAAGGGGCCTTTTCGTGAAGGGGGGGTCACATTACACAACGTTACTGTCGGGTAGAGCCTTTTTACAGAACACGATCTTAAACCTCAACAGATAAGATGAAAGGAGATGACCAAACGTATTTTAATCCCCCTCTTAATCACCACCGTCCCCCCGCCAGGCCTGGATAAGATCGAGTTTCTGCAGAGCCACGAGAACCAGGAGATCTACCAGAAGGCCTTCGACCTGATCGAGCACTACTTCGGCGTGGAGGAGGAGGACCCCGGCCTGGCCCCACAGGTGGATGAGAACCAGCAGCAGTACCTCTTCCCGCAGCAGGAAGCCCCCATGAAGGGCTTTCAGCTCTAACCTCCCCGACCAGCTTCTCTTCCACACGAAAGTCCATGCGGGCCAAGGCCTGGGGCACCAGCGCTTACCAGCCAGAAAGACTCACACAGCCACTGTGGCTCCAGCGAGTAAGATCAGACAAAACAAAGCAGACATACATCCTCTCTGCTGCTTAGCTCTATACGTCGGGGTTCCTCACACCGCTTTGCTTTCTTTCGTAATTAAGAATTCTTTTCAACCCCCCCTTTTTTTTTTTTTTTTAAGGGTTTTCTTTGAGGGAGGGAGAATGACATTATGTTTAAGCATTATAGAGTCCTGCAATCAAAAATATTGTTAAAAATGAAGTGGAGTTTTTTTTTTTTTTTTCCTTCAACTCTACTTTCAGGAAAAGCAAGGAATAGGAATTATTTTAGGACATTTTACAGTAAAGTGAACCCATCTGTAGGATTTTTTTTATTTTTATTTTTTGTTACGTTGTTTCTTTAAGTAATTTTCCTTTACGATAAATTGTGTACCGGGGGTTTCATGGGTGGGTGGGGGAGGGGGGGGTGTTTCAAGGTTAGAGGTATGGGCAGGTACTGAGGAGTGAGGGTCCTTGGGAGGAGCCTATTATAGATATTCTGGGGGGAAAAAAAGCTAAAGATTTCCAAAACCGCATACATAGGTTAGTGGGCTGAGGTTGTATAACTAGTGATTATATAACGTTCGTTGTGTGCCGTGTTATTACTACCATACAAAGTTAAGCTATGACATACGTTTATAGATTACTAGAAGTACATCACTGAGGGGCAGCCTGCTGCTTCTGCTACAGGAAGTTGCCGGACTGAGCTTATCGTTGGTTTTCTCATATATATATTTATATATATATATATGCAGATGTAAATAACTGAACTAATCTGAAGTCTTAATTAGGCTCTGTACTGCGTTTCTTTTTTGTCCCTCTATCCAGATGCTAAAAAATGCAGAAATCTCTAGCCTGTAGTTCGGGCTGAGACAACCCCTCAGTTTGTGCACTTCGCTCTCGCATGGTGTTGTATAATATTTCCAGCTGTCATGTGACCTCCCTTGCCAAATGCCTGGAGGCGAAGTCGAGGCGCCCGTCTCGGCCACACGGACGGGAGAGAAACGTCTTTTTTTTTTTTGTTTGTTTTTTTTTCTTTTTCCTTGCATTTGTGCATCTGCATACAAAGATGTGAAGCGAACAAGGGTTAGGAGGGTTTTCAGAAAAGATGCTGCGCTGGGGAGCGTCGTCTCCCGCCTGAAGCGACGCGGAGGTGCTACAACCTAATGGTCACACGTGTTGCTAGCTAGTACGCTAAGGGTCCCTCGTAGCTTTTGGGCATGGCTGGGAATGCCATGCATGGCGAATGGCTGAAGTTGGATGAGAGGACATCTGTCAAGTTAATGGTGATAAAGGCGTGTGCCAGTGGTGCAGTGCAGTCTTCTTACAGTGATCAATAGCGGGAATAAAATAGAGGAGTGGCGATGCTGGGTAAATTTAAGCAGTGGCTTCGTAACACGTGTGACATTCTTTTCAGGGTGGAGGATATCTATGAATCCCGGGCCGTGTTTCTGTAGAGCCGCTTGTCAGCACCTGCTGTTTAATGGGATGTTTCACGTTCAAGTCCCAACTCTGATCTGAAGCAGCTTGATGACTTTTTTTTTTTGTTCTTTTTCCGTGTTACTTAAGCACAACGTTGTTTTTTTCCAGTTAGGGCTGCGCGGGAGAATCCGGATAAGGAGCGACGTGCTTTCCGCAAGTCCGATTTAATGCCGAGCTGAGTTCTTATCCATTGCTGGCTAAAGCTTCTTGTACATAGTTTCACACGGTGTGGTTTTATTTTTTTCTGGTTTATGTATTGAGGGCAGCCAGGGTTTTGGCAAGGGGTAAAGTTCTTTAATCATGACAAATGTAACTACATAACGTGATTGAAGAAATTAAAAAAAAAAAAAAAAAAAAAAAAATCAAACATACACACCACTTGCACACTTGCATACAAAAGCAGCAGACACTGAACACACCGATTCCTGTAAGGATCACACAGTACAAAAGAGGAAAATAGCTTCCATAATCTAGCCTTGAAGGAGCACCTTTGCCTTTGGTCTTTCGAGTGTTCCTCGTTAAAGTGATCTGTTTTGCGTTCCATGCTGATCTTTAGACATCATCTTGTCTGCCCTTGTCGGTTAAGGCACTTAACCAGTTCTAAGCTGTATTTATATAGGTTTACATTCAGGCATTGTATTCTAACTTTGCATTATAATTCTGACATCATTTGAACTGGGGTGTGGTGATAGGGGTATGACACATCAGTGATTTAAAAAAGGGAAGAATTGTTTCTGTTCTTTATAGACAAATGAAAATTGTCCCCATTTTTACCTCTCAAACTGTGACTGGCTCTGATTTTTTTGTACTGCAGGGGGAATACGGTACTTGTTCCCCTGAATTATGGAAGCGTTTTTCTCTACCTCAAAACCACACAGACTTTGTGGATGCTTTCTGGGTCCTGGGGGAGGGTTGTGGAGTTCTTGGGTTTGGGGATTCTGGGACGGGACGGGGTAGGGCGGACAGCGGTGACATTAGTGGATGTGACGTTGACTGACGGGAGTTCTATGAGAAAGGGACTGTCCAGTGCTCTATGGCTCACCTCGGAAGCTGGTGGCAATCGCCCCTAGCCCTGCATTCGTCTCCAAGGCGAAGCAGGCACTCTGTCGCCTCCTAGTGGCTGGGCGACGCACAGGCAGCTGATCCTCTTGCCAGCGGGTTCTTGGGCCGAAGGCGCCTGGAATGTGCTGCCGTCGGCAGTTTTTGACCAAGCAGTCCATGGGGGTGGTGTTCACAGGCACAGGGGGCGCTGACTGAATGTCCTGTGATTGGCTGTCAGAGAAACAGTTTTTTTTCACATTGGAAGCATTAAAAAAAAAAATAATAAATTGCGATGAAACAACTGAAGCAGTATTCTGTATAAATATTAAATATTTAAAAATCCAGAGCCTCTTGGAGCTAAGAGAATTAGTGTTTTGTTAACAGAAGGACTGAATGGGTCAAGTCAGGCTTTGATGTAGGAGTCCTTTGGCCAGTTATCCATGCAATACTCTCATTACAAGCACAATGTACGCAGCCGCTTTCATTCTGTGACGTGACGCCACTTTGGTATACTCTCCGAAATGCATGGAGTTTGCCTGCAGCAGTGACTCCCTGGGTTGCTTCCTGTGGTAATTAAGTTGCATACCTTGTTTTCTTTCGTCCTCCTCCAGTCCTTCTGCTTATAACAAAAGCTAGTTCCCAGTTCCTTGGTTTTATATCTGCCACCGTAACTGAGGTTTCCTGTGCTAACTATGCAAAATGGGGGAGGGGCCCCTCTGCCAGGGGCCCTCATCTAGATGTTTGTTGTGTTTTTTTTTTTAATAGCATTTCTGTTCAGCAGTCTTTGTACAGTTTTTCCTGCTTCCTCTCCCCCCCCCCCCCATTCTTACAATAATACCCGAATTTGGGATGATACAAATCAGCATCTGTGATGTCATAATTGGTCTTAGGTTGTTTGTTTTTTTTTTGAGCAGCAATGTAAGCTACCCAGAACAAGAACTGCAAGAACAGCAACAAGCCTGAAGAATCCGCTGTCCACCCATGAGCGTAAGGAGGCCTAGGTACTTTTGACATCTTTTGGTGGCTTGTTCCCACTTCCTCATTTTTATTTGAAGACCAATGGGGTAAAGAAAGGTGGATCAAATGTGCAGATTCTAAACAAGAAAGCATCGAATGCACTCCTATTCACTAAAGTGCCAATCTGACCAATGAAGACTGAAGGGTGATTTCTATCATCTGTCTGACACCTTGGGTTTAATTTTTTTTTCTTTTTAACTTGAATGTGCACAGTTTATGTGCATTTGCTGCTTGACTTCCTTACCTGAAAGTTTACCTAAAATTACCTGCTACAGTCTTGTTTTTAAGAGAGGTAACGTTCTTTACTGTTTGTGCACTAAATTCTTTTATTGGGTCAGAATAGAGGAATTATTTAATCATTTAAGGTGAATATTACTCTTTGTTTTCTAATTTATTGTATGGAGCTAGATTTCAGAGCTTGCCAGACAGCAGCCGGTGTAATTAATGCATTTACCCTCCCGTTCCTTTATAAATGTGTAAGACTCAGGATGCAAATATGCAACAAGGTGTAAGAATGGAAAGAGTTGCTCGTTTAGACCTGGTGAAATTCAACCTCACACTTGCACGGTGGGAGTGAGCTGGTGGTATTTTCAAGTTGTGTATTTGTATAACCTGGTCACTTCAAACTGTTGTGTTGATGGATGTCATCTGCCAAACTTGCATGCAAGAGCAAAATGGTAGGTTCTTATTGGATTTTTGCATGCAGGAGGGAAAAAAATTCTGGGTTTACAAGCGAGAAACAAGGAGCTGTCAAAAAGTTTTTAGGCTGTTGTCAACCAAGAATGATCATTTCATGCTTTAAGTGACAACAAAGCAACTCCTGTTAGTTGATTCAGCCTCTATTGTCTTTCCTTCAGTAATTCTCTTTCATGTTAAAGCTAGCATATGCCTGAAGACACTATTGACTTAACTGACATGTAAGAGGCAGTGACATGTTATTTCTCTAATCGAAGACTCCGACTGGGCATTGAACATATTGAAAAGTTGCTTAAAAAAATCTTAACGTCACAAGTTACCGCTACCGTTTTCTTCATGATGCTATCAATGGATACTGCATTTTTTTTTTTTTTTGCGCTGGTTGTTACACATTAATTTTTCCCTCTTGTAGTTGCAGTGGCTGCTGGGAAGCCTTGAAAATGTCTATTAATATTTGTGTCAAAAAAGAAAACTCGTCTTCCGTCCTGGATCCTGTGAGGTTTGGGGAAAAAAATCCATTGCAGAGAGATCCACTTTTTCCCTGATCTAAAATTTCAGGCAGTATTCTTGGAAGTTCCTTGAATAATCCTGACAACTGTTTACATTTCAAAATGTTTTCATCATATCAGTCAAGGGAAAAAAGACGTTTATTTAAACTGAACTGGACAGCCCATGTACTCTGCTCTGGTCCTCTTTTTCCTTTTCTGAAATATTTATTTTGATGTCTTGCTCTCACCCACCTTCCTTTGCGACTGACTGGACTTTACCGACAGTATGAATGAGTGACGGAAAACTGATGTACACTTATACGGAACATGATACACAAACATGAACACAACATGCTGAAATATCAAATTGAAATTTTGTTAGCATTACAAATACAGAAAATAAAATATAAAATGCTGTTGCAACCGTTGAAGTTGTCCTGTGTAGTTTTTTTTCCTTCTTCTTTTCTTGCGCCTTGTCGGCAGTGCTGTCCCCGCTTGCTGTTGGCTTACACCTGAATAAACACGCTGATGACATGAGTGGGTAGTAGTGCAGAACTAGTATCCTCCTACAGGTAAAATTCATGAAAGTTAAATGAACTGATGGCCCTAAGGTACCCGTTGGGAGTATGTGTCCAGTGGCCTGGTACCGAGTATGACGCAGTCCTGCCTTTGTTGAATTCTTGCTGCTGTAGGAGGAGGCGTTGCTTGCTGTCGCCTGATCATACCGTAGCCACGGTTGTTTTGACTAGAATTCCACTTTATGAGGCTTTTATGAACAGCTTCTAAGTTAAAAATAAACACAAACACCTGTAGCAACTCAATGTAGTAAGTATACATAATAGTGAAATTAATCTCATAACGTAAAACTCAATGTGCGTCCTCATCCCCACGTAAATCCTCATCCAGTAATGTAATAATTTTTAAAGGGGAGGTGGTTTAGTAAGCTTTCTTTTTCATTAAGTTTGTATGTATTACATTGAGTTGTTACACTGGTACTGTCCTCTTATTGTTTGTAAGTCTCATACGATTCAGGATTAGTCATTTCCTCCAAAAAATGTTTTGTCCACAGCAAACGCTTTTAGTCAGACACGCTTTTCTTCGTTCTTTTACAATTCACAATTGTATGTGACTTAAAATACCTTAGGGGAAGGGAAGGGGAAAAATGAGAAAAACAATGTTCTTTTGTCTAATTAGAGGTTAGCGCTCTGGGGGCCAAGTTGAGTGCACATTTCTGGGTTTCGACTGGTTAATGTTCACCAAACGCAATCCACTCAGCCGTTAAAATCAGCCGGAGCATAAAAGCACATTGTTCTGTAAGCTGTTTATTCAATATCCCATAAAGGATATTATTATTAATTTCTTTACTGTTTTGTTTTTTTTATAATGTTCCTCCCAAAAATGGAACATAATGCTTAACATGGGAACGTTAAAAACATTGTAATCAGTTGCTTTCTTTAATCTTTTATTTAAAATGTATATTTTATACATGCATCTTGATTTTAAGTGCCCTGCTTAAGACTACGGTCCGAATGTCTGTGCTTGGCTTAATCGTTACTCTAGTTAGCAATTACTAACCAGGTTTATCATCGCCAGTCAAGAGGATGCTTAAATACGTAAAACAACTTCTATAATTCTTAAATGATCATGAACACCTAAAAGTAAACAGTTAAGTGAAAATAAGTCCAATACAAAACGGACATATTACAATGTATGAAAAAGATTTACGCATACGCTTTCCAAATATGATTTTAAAAAACACACACATTTATTCAAAAGCATTACCTTTAAGTCGAAATTTTATTTAATGTCTCTGTTTAATGTGGACTATTTCAGAACATTCAGTTCACGAAGCTAAACCTCGTTATAATATTAAATCTTAATATTCCGACCTTTTCATACAATGATTACTGTACATCTAATGAGGTTTTCGAGAAATGGGTTAAATTTCGAGACCAGCGCAGTTTTCGCGATATTAATACTAAGGACTACGTTTCCCAGACACCCCGCAAACAGCTTTTCAGACGCGGCATTTCCGCTTTTTCCAGCCAATCAACGCGTTTTATTCTCAGGCTATTTCCTTTGTCAGTTGGCAGAAAGAAAAGCGGACAGTTAAAGTCAATTTGCGGTGGCTGCTTGTGAGTACAGGTAAAACTGTCGCCAAGTATTTAAGTTGTAATGAAGACAGTGAAATTGTTGATGTTTATACATGTTTGGAACTCTCTCTATCTAACTTGCTGTGTTCAGTTTCGTTTGAACTAAGCTCGCTCTAGCTAAGTACGTAGCAGGCATATATGTTTCTTAAGCCGAAGTGGCAGAGAAAATATAGAAACTTTTTTCGGATTTCAGTGAAGGGACCTTACAGTTAATGTTACTGTTCTTGACCAGCGCTAGATATTTGTGTGTTTTGCCCCTTTTCGTATCCGAACCATGACTGGACTTTCTAGTAATGTCGTTAATTTTCGGTTTCGGGATTGTTATGAAATCTGCTAGACGGACGAGTGTCGCTGGTGACCTTCATGTGTTTCATTTCTTATGATTGCGACTGTCTGCCTTAGGAACCTGTTAAGCCTGTCTTTAAATCTCTTAGCCTATAGAATTATATGTGTGGTGCCACCTCCGGTCACGACCCCAACCTGCCAACACCTGCCACCACTTAGTTACCTATCGGTGTCAGATACCGGTAACTCGCACTCTCAGGTTTTCCTCCTTGGGTACACTTACGTTTCCAGTCTAACACGTGGGCCTGTCATAAGGGACTGGAATACTTTGCTTATTTTTTTTATGGTCTTGAGGTTTAGTAAACCACTGGATATTTGTTGCATTCGTTGCAATGTATCTCCAGGAATAACGATGAAGAAGCAAGACAGTGAAAGCCAGTGTCAAGAGAGCAACAGCAGCGACTCTGTGCCTTTGAGCACAGAGGTAGTGGCTGGCCAAAGCCCTGGGGCAATAGGGACCTCTGGCAGCTCAGATGGGATCGAGGGCCAGCAGCCTATAGATACTCCACTGGACACACAGGTCAACAATGGAGGTAGGTGTGTCCTCATGCTGCAGGAATAAAATGATGTGTCAGATTTGCACAGAGGAGGTGGAAACTGGACTGTATGTAATGGCTTCCACTCTCCATGTAAACTCAAGTAATTGTATAATTTAGTAGATGCTTATCCACAGCAACTGGCAGGTTGTGAAGATTTGAATCTAAACTCCCCCCCCCCCCCCCCCCCCCATCATCATCACCATCATCATCATCACCATCATCATCCTCGTTTAGCTGAAGAGACAACAGCAGAGGAGCTCAGTCGTCAGTTGGAGGACATCCTCAGCACTTACTGCCTGGGCGAGGGCACGGAGGACAGGGCGCTGCCGGAGGCCTGCGACGGGCAGCCTGACGGGGCCGATCTCAGCGGCGTGACCGAGCAGGGCGACGACAAGACCGGGGGGCTCAAGCTGAACGGCAGTGTCACTGAAAAGGATCCCAAGAAGGAGCAGGAGAAGAAGAAGGTCAAGGGCTTGGGTGGGTCTGACGCACCTCCCCACTTCTCCCAGCTCCTCCTCATCTGTCATGACATCTTTTGTGTGTCTAATGGGAGTCATTCTTCCTGTGAGTGGGGGGTTGAGCTCACTACTGGGAGATATGGTGATGGAGTCAGCACCTCCTGTATGAAGTGTAGAAGAAATTACCCTGAGGCCAAAGCTGTATTATCACTATGTGCCTTACCAGTAACTGAAAAGACAGAGAACTGTCACTATTCTTCTGGTCCAGTCCTCTGCACCTTCCTTTCACAGGACTGGGTTTGGACAGTATCTAATTTTCAACCCATCTAGACATTATACCGCCGTAAATAGTATTTTCAAAGGTAACCCCATGATAAAAATTGCCGGGGACGGGGCTTGGGGGGAGTTTGGCAAAATTTATCGTGGGGAACAACCACCCCTGGCTCAGCTAATGCTGTCGCCAAGACTTCAAAATACTGCGGTACACTCAAAATACTACGGTATACCGAATTACCGTAATACTGCCTAAGGTGACCAAATACTTAAAATGACATCCAAAAAAAAAATCATACATATCAGCAAAAAGTGTCACATACTATACTTAAAAAAATAAAATAAAAATAATAATAAACACCACCACCTTCTTTGATCTGTGTCACACCACAGCCCTAGAGTGCGCAGAATGCTTTCGATGCAGCAGACCCACATACAGAGCTCAAATAATATTGAATAGTTGCTTCAAAAAGTCTTGACTTCACAAGTTACCGCTACGCATTTTTCTTCATGATGCTAACAACGGATACTGCATTTTTTGCGCTGGTTGTTGAACATGATTTTTTCCCTCATTGTAGTTGCAGTGGCTGCTGGGAAGCCCTGAATTTCAGTATTGCTGAATACTATTCATATTGCTCAGACAACGTCAATTTTGTCTGAAGTATACGGCCATCTTAAGCCTATGCAGGACTACTGTTTAGTCAAAGCTGCTCTAGGAATTTCTACTACTTAATGTCACTCACATCTCTGAGTGACGTTAAAGAAAAGCTGGGGTGCCCGTTAGACTGGAAAAACCCACCCCTGTTCCTGACATTTTTGTTAAAGTGGGTCAAAGGTGGAGATGCCTGAGCTGTCTTTCTTTTTGCGCAGGTAAAGAGATCACGCTGTTGATGCAGACGCTAAACACCCTGAGCACGCCGGAGGAGAAGCTGGCCGGCCTCTGCAAGAAGTATGCCGAGCTGGTGAGTGTCCATCAACCTTCTGTGGAACATTCCGGAAAACCAAACACATTGGCTCCGGGTTATCAAAGTTAAGTCTTGTAGCCAATGGCTCTCCAGCTACCGACCAAGTGAATGAGACATTTAACCATTATCCCCTCAATCAGATATGACACTATATTGTAAAAAGGAAAGTGTAAAGTGAGATAGAGTCTGCAAAGAAACCTCCTGTGAGGCAGGCAAGCTGGTATACTGCCCTTGGAGGTTTGGATTCAGTGGGTTTATTACCAGTGTGTGTAGAGCTGGGTGGTTTTGATGGCCACCACATGAGTCTTGTGTAGTGCCCTTTGACCTCAATCTTACGCCAGCTGTCCTGTCTCTGGGAAAACCATCACACTCTGGGATTAGCTCCCTGCAGCCCGTGATCCTAACCGCAGTGGAGATCATCACCACTGCAGATAAACACCATCACGTGTGCACAGGTGTCAGAGAACAATGGGCTGGTTCTTTGACTCGCAGCGAGCGCCTGTGTTCCTTCAGGCCTGCCTGTGGCATGCAGGGAAGCTGCCAGCTTGAGGGAGCCGGCACTCTGCCACAGGTCTGTTTGGCTTTCAGCTAGGGCGAGATGGCGTGAGGGAGCCCAGGGGAATGGCATTCTGCTGGACGCAGCAGATTTTCAAAGGAGCAGATTCATTTGAATAATATTGTTTACCACATGCCAAAATCCAAAATGATTTGCATAGCTTATAGTTTTACATTTGCTGCTGTGTGTATATTTTCCTTACAGAAGTATTTTGTGTTCAGTGTCTTACTCTGTGGTACAGCCCTTGTCCCTGGTAGCAGTTGAACTTGCACCATTTCTCTGACCAGACCAAACCTGGTCCCATTCTGAATATTTTGTCCCTTCAGTCCTTAGCAGGACACCCGTTCACATGCGGCGTCGCAGTTTGATCTGCGGTCTTGCCTGTGACGCTGCGGGCCGAGTGCTTCACTCAGATTGGTGAAGGGTGCCATTGTGGCTCCAACGGAATAGAAAGTAACATCTCGTCGGTTTAAAATTTCACCCCCCCTCGGTCCTGTTTCAGTTGGAGGAGCATCGCAACGCACAGAAGCAGATGCGGGTGCTGCAGCGGAAGCAGGCGCAGCTCATCCAGGAGAAGGACCACCTGCGCAGCGAACACAGCAAGGCCATTCTGGCGCGCAGCAAGCTAGAGAGCCTCTGCCGGGAGCTACAGAGACACAACCGCACGCTCAAGGTGA